AGGAAGGGAATCAGAGAGATAAAAGAGGCACAATTTTGTAAGGACTTTGATGTTGTATAAAATGGGACTTAGAGAAAAATCACAATTTTATGTAATGTAATTTGTTTTTTTTAAACTTAGTAATATATTTTGTAAGAAAAATTTTTTAGTAACTGGTGCATAGTATAAGTGGCCTCAAAATATTTGTTGAATGAATGAATAATCTTTCTAATCAGATCATAGCACTGACTCATATGTTTTTAATGGCTACATGGTTTCTCAAGTTATAGATGCACAATGATTAATCAATCAAAGCATTTTTTTAAAATTGCAAAGACCTTTGTCTTACTGTTCAACTTTGTTCAATACCAAGGATCTGTCTATGCATAGGCCTGTTTCTGGCCTCCTCATTTTGTTGCATTTGTTTATTTGTCTGTCTCTGTGTCAATATTATATTATTAATAATTTAAATAGCTAGAACTTTATAATACATCTTGAAATCCAGAAGAAAATATTCTTTACCTCATTCTTCTTCAGGGGCTTCTTCACTATTATAGGCCCTTTGACTCCCTAAATATATTTTAGAATCAGCTTATCAAGTTCATCCATACACAAAATAAATGTGTAAGGATTTTGAGTTGTATTGAATTGAAACTGTAAATCAATTCAAGGAATATTAACATCTCTACATTATTGAGACATTCAGCCCACAAACATGGTATATCGTTCTATTTAGTTAGATCTTATTTTACATCTGTCCCTATGGTTTTAGAATTTCCTTTGTGGAGGTCTTGCATATTTTTTTGTTGGAGTTATTCTTTGGTTGGGCATAATTTTGTACAGCATATTATAAATACTGTCTTTCCTAAATTTTATTTTAAGTAATTCTTGATAATATACGAGTAGATTTTTAAATCTCATTAATTCTAACAATATATCTGTATATTCTTATGAAATTTGCATGCACACAGTCATGTTATCTGTCACCCTTCACACTGCTAAGACCTCTAGTTCAATGTTAAATGGACATGGTGATAGAGAGTATTTTTGGTTTGTTCC